AAAAAGAAGCATAATAGAAAATAATAGGAAGAAGAATATGTATATATTAAATCACCTTACTGTATACCAGAAACTAATGCGATGTTGTAAATCAACTACATTCTAATTTAAAAAATGGGCAAGATAACAGCCATTTCATAAGAGGGAACCCAAATGGCTTATACATATGAATATATGCTTGGCCTCATTACTAACCAGAAAAATGAGATCATAAACCACAATAAGATACACTGTCTTGCAAAACACTATCCCAAAGAACGGCTAAAACTAAAAAGACTGATGTTTCTAAGTGTTAGGTAGGATGGGAAGCTACATTTCCAAGCGGTAGTAAGGCTGTATATGGTGAAAGGAGCTCTCAGGGCTGCTGGTGGAAGTGCAGACCAGAAAAAAACATTTTGAATGACTGACAGTTCTGTTACAGGAAGATTTACTACCCTGCAATTTAATGCCTGGGGACCAGGACACATATATAAGAATTTTCAAAGCAACATTCTTCATAATAGACAAAATTGAGGAGAAATGTCAACCAACAGTAGAATGGATTAAGAAAAATTGTGGTGTATTCATATAATGGAATGCTCTACTACACAGCAGTGAAAATGAATAGGTACAGCTACATCCAGCTGCAACAAGGATGAATCTTACAAACGCATTATTGAGGTAAGTAAATTTATATTCCATTTATGTGAGTTTAAAAACAGGAAAAACTTAAATATTCTAAATAAACATAGGAGATAGGACAATTAATAAATGTAAGATATAAAGTCAAAATCATAATTATCTCTAGGGACGAAAGATTGGGTTATTATTGGGGAGGGTTTTCCTGGGGTGCTGGCAATAGAATATATCTTGATTTGGGTGGTAGTGACATGGGTGTTCACTTCATAGTAATTCATTTTAATGTGCATTGTAATTCTATGTAATTTTCTTTCTGAGTTATAATTTGGGATAAAGAGTTTTAAACATGCTGCTTAATTATTACCTTGCTATTTTAAAAATAAATGTAAGTTCTAAGATATTTTTTCTAAGCTCCAGTGACTCCTGTGCAACTCTTGGGAATTTTTCACTCAACTTTTATTCTTATGAGATTATTTAATGTTGAAAAAGTTAGAAAATATTTATTGCTATGCATGTGATATATCTATTGGAAAATATTTAATGATAGACATATAAAAAGGAGGCGATCATTAAGTACCAGAAAAAAATTTGAGGTGTACTGTTATCAAAGACCAACATTTATCAGCCATAATGATATAAACACTGTCGCTGTAATTACAAATTAGAAGATAACTATAATGGAACAACTGAAGAAGGGAAGGTGGTGCAGAGGGATGAATAATACACATCTGCAAAATATCAGGTGATGAATAAATACTGTGTACAACTGAGGAGTCAAAAGAGTGATAAAACACAGATTTAAACTTGGAAGAAATAGTTATCTCTGAGCAGTAAGACTGGAAAAATAGGAAGGGGTTAAATATTTGGTGATAAGTATTTTGCGATTTGATGTGTAAGTTATGTTCCTATATTACTTTCTGGAATAGTACTATCTTCTGGATTCCTACACGGATCTGCCCCGTCCCTCAACTGCTGAATTAGGTGACCCTTACATCAGCGGTCCCCAACCTTTTTGGCACCAGGGACCGGTTTCATGGAAGACAATTTTTCCACGGATGGGAGGTGGGGCGGTGGATGGTTCAGGCGGTAATGTGAGCGATGGGGAGCGGCAGATGAAGCTTCGCTCGCTCGCCTGCCGCTCACCTCCTGTTGTGTGGCCCGGTTCCTAACAGGCTGCGTACAGGTGGGTTGAGGACCCCTGCCTTACATGTTATGACAACGTGCCTGTGTGTACATGATTTTCATTTATCCTGATCAGCATTATTGCACCTTTCCAATCTGAGAACTGATATCTTTTTTTCAACTCTAGAAAGTTTTCATCTTTTCATTTGATTGTGAAAAACTGCACATATACAAAGTGTATAGGATGTATGCGTTCAATATAAAGAATAATAAATCAATATTTATGTACCCGCTCAGGCACAATAACAATACAAATTACTCAAGGAAATAAGTATCTCATCATTATTCACTGTTGTATATTCTCTAAGCCTAGTTATCTGGTCTTCTGGATGTTTTGAGAGCTACATAATATCAACTTTTTTTTCTGTTAATTTAGCCATAGTTAGTTTTTGTTGGATGCTACTAGTTATCCTGAATTATAGAAACATAAATTAATATTTTACCTTTATGACATTTTATAATATAATATCTTGGATATTGTTTTGCTTTAAATAATAAGTAACCAAAGAAAGAAAAGTGTCAATTTCTGTATCAGTTACCTAGGTTTGCAAAAAATCTGGCACAATCTTTGTGGCTTAAAATAATGAGTTATTATTTCTTGAAATTCTTTGTTTTGACTGGGCTCAGCTGGGTGAGTCTTCTGCTCCATGCAGTTTTGTTGGAGACATGACTCTGTTTAGCTGAGAGCTCTAGTGGGCTAGAACCTCTGAGATGGCATCACTTACAGGTCTGTTGCCTCAGCTGGGCTTCTGGAGGAGCTGACAGCTGGATGGGCTTCCTCCCCCTGGAGGAGGAGGTGAACTTCTTACATAGTGGTCCAGGGTTTCAAGACACTGAACACAGAAGGTAATAGGCCCTTTATGGGTTGGTCCTTTAACTGGCTCAGTCATTTACACATGTTTCATTGGTTAAAATGAGTCAAAAGGCCAGCCCAGATCAATAGAAGGGAAGCTAGAAGACTCCACCTTTGATAGGAGGAGGAGAATATGTGTAAACATTTGGGAGGGGTTTCTAGTAGCCATCTTTTAAAAAACAATATACCACAGTCTTCCTTCTGCTGAATTCTATTTCTCAAGTTAAGTCAAAGGCCAGCACAGGTTTACTGAGAGGAGCAGCATGAATGTACAGTAAGGAAAGGTAATGTGAACCTCTGCACCAAAGGAAAATCCACCACAATCACAGACTGTGATAATTGCTTTAAAGCAAATAAATGGAGTGATGAGATAGGAGGATTAGAAGACATTAATTTAGATAAGTTGCCAGGGAAGGACTCTGAGTGCTGGGAGATGAAAATAAATCAGTCACATAAAGCAGAAGAGCTTCTGAGCAGAAAGAACAGATCAATAAAGTAGCCTTTACAGAAGTTCAGGAGAGACAAGATAGGAACTTTGAACAGGGTTGTGAGAGTGGAGACAAAATGGTAGAATTAGGATTTATGTAGGAGATGCTATTGATGATGAACGTGTACACAGGGTTTGAGGGAGACAGTAAAGTCAAAGACAATGCCTAGTTTGCTGTTTTAAGGAGCGGCATTGATGAGGTCCCACTTGCTGAGGCAGGAAAAGCTGTTTCCTTTCCTTCTTGTTTTTTAATTTAAAATTTTTTAATTTGCCTTGTGAGATGGAAAAGTTGGACATTAAATCATGAGTTTACCTGTTTTTTTTTCTTTAGAATTGAGATTTTTTTTTACATCTTTATTGGGGTATAATTGCTTTACAATGGTGTGTTAGTTTCTGCTTTATAACAAAGCGAATCAGTTATACACATACATATGTTCCCATATCTCTTCCCTCTTGAGTTTACTTTTGAAAATGTTGAGTCTGAGGGGCCTTTGAAACACAGGGGTGGAAATACCCAGTGAGCAATTAGTTGTGTGACTATGAAGCCACAGAGAATGTCTAGTGGGGGACATCAATTCTGGAGTCTTCAGAGTATAGATGTAATTGACAAAATTCTAGATAGACACTTCCAACATTTTGTACCATTTAAGAAATTTCATTCATTACCTTGACGAATACCTACAATAACCTACATCAGTCTATGAAAATACATCAGCAGATAAAAGAAGTTACTTTCCACACATTTAATGACTTCCTCTTTGTCTCAGCTGGGTTACAATTATTAGCCTCTTATCACTGGTTTTAGCACTTTGGGTTTTTTTTTTTGTTTACTATTTTTTAAGTAAGGATTCAAGTCATACACAAATTATTGAAAAGACAGGCATGACAATGATCCTGAAGCAGAACTCTTGGCTGTCTGTCAACAGCACCATAAAGAAATTCAAAATGCTTACTGGTTATCTCACACCTGAGAGCCCAAGGTAACGGTGGGTTGAAGGTGTCAGATGTAAAGAGGGTACAGTGTTCAACTACGAAATGCGTGAAGGCCGAGGTGATGTGATAGGCAATCCTGGATAAAATCAAAATGTCACTTCATATCTGGGTGACTTATTTAGTGAGCGATGTCTGGATAATGGATAGACCATTTGGAAAAAAATAAAGAAGTTAGTTCCCTACACATTACACAAAGTCAATTCCAGAGAGCTTAAATATAAAACATTTCAATATGAAAAACTAAAAATGCTAGAGAGATAGTTACTTAATTCTAGGACAGAGGGGTCTAAGCATGTCAGAAAAGCAGAAAGCCAAAAGGAAAGAGTTGATGGATTAGAGTTCATGTAAACCAGACGCTTCTGTATTCGATTTACAACAAAAGCATGCATAAAAATTAAAAAGCAAAGGGAGAGGAAAAAATATTTACAACATATGACACAAAGCAGCTAATATAAAAATATAATGAGGCTTAAAAGGCAGCAAAGTAACAGAGGACCCTCCTCATAGAAAAGAGGATAAAAGAAATGAAGAGCCATTTCAAAAAACCCACAAACCATCAAAACACACAAAAATTGCTCAATCTCATTAGGAACCAAAATTGTAAAACAGAACAGTTAGAAACCATGCTGCCTACTTAAAACTCTTTTTGTATTAAATAGGCATTTCCCAGTGTTTCACTGGGAAAAACACCTGGCAAGATATATTTTCAGAGGTTAACTCTGGTCATGAACTGCTTTTTCCTTACTTATTGCTTACTATTATTTCCGAATTTTAAAAATTAATACCGCAAGGGCAATTTTCTTCCATTACAAATATTCACACGTATTTCAAGTATTCCCTGCCCACGGGTCATACAGATATACTTACTCTCCCAGGAAAACAATCTCAGTATTGACCTCCCCTGCCTTATGGCGGAGAAAATTCCTCAGGAAAGCCGTCACACTGTCCACAGTGATGTTTCCACAGACCACAATGAACCTAGAAAGTGAAAACATGGGAGGTGGTTCATCCCAGGAACAGAAGTATTTTCCTGTCTAGATTTAGAGATGGACAATTAGCTTAAACTTAGTTTGAAATAAAAGTTGGTATTTGATACCTCATTGTAGTTTTGATTTGCATTTCTCTAATGATTAGTGATGCTGAGCATTTTTTCACGTGTTTGTTGGCAATCTGTATCGTCTTTGGAGAAATGTCTATTTAGGTCTTCTGCCCACTTTCGGATTGGGTTGTTTGTGTTTTTGATATTGAGCTGCTTGTATATTTTGTAGATTAATCCTTTGTCAGTTGCTTCGTTTGCAAATATTTTCTCCCATTCTGAGGGTTGTCTTTTCGTCTTATTTATGGTTTCCTTTGCTATGCAAAAGCTTTTCAGTTTCATTAGGTCCCATTTGTTTATTTTTGTTTTTATTTCCATTTCTCTAGGAGGTGGGTCAAAAGGGATCTTGCTGTGAGATCTATGCTATGAGATCTTGCTGTGATTTATGTCATAGGGTGTTCTGCCTATGTTTTCCTCTAAGAGTTTTATACTGTCTGGCCTTACATTTAGGTCTTTAATCCATTTTGAGTTTACTTTTGTGTATGGTGTTAGGAGGTGTGTAAGTCAGAAAGAGAAAAACAAATACTATATGCTAACACATATATATGGAATCTAAAAAAAAAAAAAGGGTCATGGAGAACCTAGGGGCAAGACAGGAATAAAGACACAGACGTAGAGAATGGATTTGAGGACACGGGGAGGGGGAAGGGGAAGCTGGGACGAAGTGAGAGAGTGGCATGGACATATATGCACTACCAAATGTAAAATAGCTAGCTAGTGGGAAGCAGCTGCATAGCACAGGGAGATCAGCTCAGTGCTTTGCAACGACCTAGAGGGGTGGGATAAGGAGGCTGGGAGGCAGACGCAAGAGAGAGGGGATATAGGGATATATGTATGCATATAGCTGATTCACTTTGTTATACAGCAGAAACTAACACAACATTGTAAAGCAATTATACTCCCATAAAGATGTTAAGAAAAAAAAGTTCCACCTAGATTTTAAACTTAGAAACACCAAGGACTGCATCTCCAGTATACAAAAGGAGCATAAGATTTCTGTAGGGAATGATTCCACACATTTGAATTACACATAGCTTTTCAGGCATTTAAGGATAACTATCGTAACTGCTAGATTTTTCTCGGTTATTTATAATTATAATGGAGTTGCACGTGTGTTAATTTCACTTGATTTGCCACTTGACTCCTGATGGGCTGGTGTCATCTTTTTTCAGTGAGGAACGACTGAGCTCGGAATGGCTCACTGGTTTTCCCATAGTCAAATACTATGGCTGAGGCAGCACCAGAATCTAGGTTATTTTGGTTTATCTTCTGCATCTAAAATTATCTAGTACTCACAAAAAAAGTGAGTCCAATGGAGAGACATCTAGCACAGGTCCACAAATCTATGCATGTAACTTCTATGGTGAAAAATAGCCGTCAATTTCCTTAGGCTTCATATACATAAAGAAGCTGTTTTCCTCCCATTAGTCATGTAAGAAAACTGAAAGCGTAATTTTAGCCTAAGTTAAACTTATATTTTCCAGACCTTATTGGCCTATTTAGCATGTGTGAGATGAACTGGGTTAGACTTTGGCTTATCTAGCTTATTTCATTGTTTTCAATATTTGTTTTTCATTCATTTCATTTTGTTACCTTCCTCTTCATACTCCTGGATCAATGTTGGTTTTTATCCAACTGTGTTAAGACATCACTCCAAAGGAGTTTATCTCCACTGTGCCTCTTTCCTCTACAGCAGGTAAAAGGCTAAATAAAAAAGAATCGCTTTGAATTTGGGATTTCCAATTCCTTATCTTCTTCTTAGGTATGAAAAATCATAATGGCAATGGAGGTAACATACATCCACAGAGAAGTAGAGTAAAAACAACTCCAAATCCACTTCGCTCCTGGGAACAAACAGCTGTGGCGTGGACAAAACAGGTGATCTGTGAAGGACTGGAGGACAGGCTGAAACCCCTCCTCACTCTAGCAAACCTCTTCCCATGGATGAGCTTTAGGGGAGTTTGGGCTAAGACAACTGAATTGAATTATTTTAAATTCGAACTGTGACTTTAATTGGATCCATTATGTAAAGTTAGCCATGAGTCAACCACATGGTTAAAATGAGTAAGACAATCAGTAATGGATATAAGAGAACAGTCTGAGATAAGGAATGTACAAATATTGGCACAATCAGCATGTGACACCGAATGACAACATATCTGTCATTAGTTTATTTAATCCTCTTATGAGCATCTAGATGGTAGTGTGTATCAAGTAGCAAATATCTTCTCATGGTATTTATTCCAGCGTGGCCCTCTTTAGTGAATGAGGACCTTGCCAACATATCCACCTAGGCCAGGCAATAGTGTTTCGAAAGGGAGAGTGACTTAGTAGAATCCCTCAAACTGTAGAAATTATACTTGAAAGCTACTTACTTCTTTCCTTTGGCCACTTCATAGGAACTGGTGTATTTCCTCTTGTTACCAAAAAGTTCCACCATTTCAGGAACGTAGTTGGCAAACAGAACCTAAAATGATCGGCAAATAAAACCTGAGGTCTCACTACTTCCAAGGATACTCCAAAATTCCAAGACTACAAAGGAGAAAGCAGGTACGTAAAACTTTCTCTCTTCTAAGAAGGGCATGACTGGGAACTGTGCTTTTAAAGGGAGACCAATTTTCTTCCTTACTTCAGCCTTTGGATTTGGTTAAAATTTAATAAAATGCTTTTCATCCTTCAAAAAGATGAAAGCAAAGACAAGCAGTAAGGCAACCTCCCCACCCATTTTTTCCTGTCATCACTTCTAACTGCCCTTCTGACGCTTTCACTTGATACTATTTGGGGCTTGGGGAAAAAATAAAGCATATGGGACAGAGTAGGGTTAAAGGAAAATGACAGAAATGAGGGGATGTAAAAATGATGTGGACAGGGGGATATCAGAAAGGTAGAGTGGAGAACTCGGCGATGGTTATTAAGGAATTGCCATTAAAGTCACTAAAAGAAAAGGAGGCTTACTTTATCCTTGACACACTCATGAACCAAGCACAGATGTTCACTTATCTGTAGTAAAATGCTGGTTTAGAGAGAGTTTACTCATTTGGGCTGGAAAGAACACAACTTCCTGCAGATCAAATCTCAAATCCCCTTCCTCTTTGGAAGAAAGACTATAATCCGATGGGCAAAAGATGAAGGAAGATGCGGTTGCTCAAATCAATGCAGAGGCTAATTAGGAACGTCTGCTCTCCTTTGTCTACCACCCTCATCCCTGGCAATCGAACAATTCCATCATGTGCTCCAGGGGATGCAGTTTGGAAAATATGGGATTCACACATATCTCTTCATTTTCATTTGTTACCCGCTCTGAATAATCCAACATTCACTCTCAAACCTATATCACTTTGTTTCTCACCATTAACAAATGTTTTTGGTTTATGTAGCTATATTCAAAAGATATAAAAATATTCTTCACCAAACTCCCCAGGGTGAAGAACATGATGAAGGTCCGTCCTAGGGATGTCTTGGCTACCACATCTCCAAAGCCGACAGTCGACGTCGTTGCCATGACCAGGTAAATGGACTCAAAATATGAAATATTCTGTGAATTTCTACCTTTGAGCCAGGGATCACCAGAATTTTCCACCTGTCCAAAGAGAGAGGACTCAGGAAAGGTCTCTGAATTGAATCCAAGGAAAAGTTTATAAAGAATAAGCACAACTTTCGATTTGTTTCATTTAATTCAATCCAAATGAAAGAGTAAATGATTCCCAGGTCTCTGTGAAGGGTCTGCAAATTGTGGGTAGTAATTGTGAAGTCTTGTTTCCCTTCATGGTGATTACTACTCAAATCTGAGGGGTGTGTAGCTTGAGCCCACAATGGAGATGCTCAATGGGGGGAATGGCTGACAACATCTCTTTTCCTGTGGGCACATCCTCCCATCCTGGAGCCACGGGATTCAGAGGCTGTCAGACTGAGCAATTATTATTCACCCTCATTTTACACCACATCAGGATCATCATGAAGGAAAGCAGCACTTAAATGGGCACTTCATCTCAGTGAGCTTAAGCGCATGAACGCTGGAGTCTCAGGAAGAGCAAACAAGTTTTCCAGATTACTTTCCTCCCTCCCTGCAAAAATCTTTTCAGTGATAAAAAGGAAACTCTGAAATAAGCTACAAGGATATACTGTACAATATGGGAAATGTAGCCTATATTTTATAGTAACTATAAACAGAGTCTAACCTTTAAAAATTGTGACTCACTATATTGTACACCTGTAACATATAATATTGTACATAAACTATACTTCAATTAAAAAAAAAAGACAAACTCTGGAAAAATCTTCCTCTGATTTTCCCCCTAAGTCTTCACATTTTAAGAAACCTAGGTTTATCCGATTTTTTTTTTTTTACCTTACACAAAAATAGTAACTTAGGCAATGGCATTACACTTTATAGAATATATATATAAATTTATACATATATATCATTTGTTATGATATATAACAAACATTAATTATATAGAATATATACAAAATTTCCCTAATGTTTCTGTTTTTAGATATTTTTCCCAAAATAATACTTATTTCCTAGATGTTTTCCATTTCCATTTTTCCACGAGAGACGGTAAAATGCTAGAGATGGCTGGGGAAAGTAGGTTTTTTGTTTTGTTGCTAAGAACCAGAATGAAAACTAGAAATAATGTACTTTGCTTAGGTATCCGATCACTTTTTTAAAGTGGTGTGCCAACTGCTGCCTCCTTCTTAAGTTGGATGAGTAGGTTAAGAGTGTGGGCTCCTCTAATACTCCACTCCCAGATAAGGAGATTGCATGTCTATGCTTAACTCTCAGGGCTGGTAGTAGATTTGGTTGCAAAGTCTGCTCATCAGCTTCCACGGAGCTGGAGCCTTTACTGCTTTCTAAGACTGCTGTACTGTAAGAAAACCAAGTGTAAATCACACAGATAAAACTCCTAGAGGAAAACACAGGCAGAACACTCTTTGACATAAATCGAAGCAATAGCTTTTTGGATCTGTCTCCTAAAGCAAAGGAAATAAAAATAAACAAATGGGACCTAATTAAACTTAAAAGCTTTTGCGCAGTGAAGGAGACCACCTACAAAATGAAAAGACAACTTGCTGAATGGGAGAAAATATTTGCAAATGATATGACCGATAAGGGGTCAATATCCAAAATATATAAACAGTTCCTACAACTCAACATCAAACAAACAAACAAACAAAAACAATTAAAAAATGGGCCAAAGACCTGAATAGACATTTTTCCAAAGAGGATATGCAGATGGCCAACAGGCACATTAAAAGATGCTCAACATCATTAATCATGTTGCAAATCAAATGCAAATCCTAACCACAATGAGATGTCATCTCACACCTGTCAGAACAGCCATCATCAAAAAGAACACAAATGACAAGTGTTGGTGAGGATGTGGAGAAAATGGAATCCTCCTACACTGTTGGTGAGAATGTAAATTGGTGCTGCCACTGTAGAAAACAGTATGGAGGTTCCTCAAAAAAATTAAAAATAGAACAACTATATGACCCAGCAATTCCACTCCTGGGTATATATCTGGAAAAAAAAAAAAAAACTAAAAACACTAATTCAAAAAGATACATGCAACCCAATGTTCATAGCAGCATTATTTACAATTGCCAAGATAGGGAAGCAACCTAAGTATGCAACAACAGATGAATGGAAAAAGATGTGGTATATACATATACAATGAAATACTACTCAGCCATGAAAAAGAATGACATTCTGCCATTTGCAGCAACATGGATGGACTCAGACGGTATTATGCTAAGTGAAATAAGTCAGACAGAGAAAGATAAATACTGAATGATACCATATGTGGAATCTGAAAAATACAACAAACTAATGAATATAACAAAGAATGAACAGATTCACAGATATAGAGAACAAGCTAGTGGTTACCAGTGGCGAGAGGGAAGCGGGGAGGGGCAATATAGGGGTAGGGGAGTAAGACGTACAAACTATTAGGTATAACATAAGCTACAAGGATATACTGTACAACACGGGGAATACAGCCAATATTTTATAATAACTATAAATGGAGTGTAACCTTTAAAAATTGTGAATCACGATATTGTACACTGTAACCTATAATACTGTACAGCAACTATACTTCAATTTTAAAAATCATATATATGATATATATATATATACTATAATATATATGTATATACATATGTGTGTATATATATTTTTTTTCCCAGGAGTTGAAGTGTTGCTTGGGACAGTTTGCTTTAAGCTAAAACCCCATAGTGTCTTGTAAACATCTTAGCACAGGGCTTCCATCATACCCTTGTACAACATGTTTTACAAACTGAAACTAAACTTATTTCAACCTAGAAATCTCCTTCACAGTAAATAACCCTTTCCCATTTAACTCACCCTCTTTGGAAGTACTGCTTTAGTGCTTCAAACCCCTCCCTACTCCGAAGACCTGTCACTCCTGCTGGTCTACCTGGCCACGCTGCTCTTGCCCTGGACCGTGTTAGCATCGACCCTCAGCCCCAGATGGGAAATAACTTAAAGATTAAGGATTATGGGCCAATGTGAATATATTGAATTGTTACCTATTTTTAATGTCACATTTCAAAACTGAAACTTTACACTTTTAAACCTTACGTTTCAACCTTAGGTAAGCTGTGCTACGGAGGCGGAGGACGTGAGGACACTCTCCCATCCCTGCCTATCTCTCCATTATTTGTATTGGTTTTATTATTTTTACATGGTACATGTGTGTTCTAGTCTGTACCCACAATTCCCTTGGTCGTGTCTTTGTTCTATTTTCAATTCAGTCAGTAATCACCTTCACTCCTTTTTATCATGGTTTCCTCATTCTTGAGGTCTTGGTTTTGACTCGTCTCCTATGCGGCTGGATTTTATCATCAAGGTCATTTTTAAAAGGGATTCATGATGCTCTTCTCTCTTCCATGTGCTTAAAATGACGGATGGGCTACACCACAACCTTGGCAGACACTGCTCTGTCACCTTCCTGTACTGACTGATGTTGGCAAGATATCTGAGGCTAGTTTCATTTCCCCCCTAATATAGACCTTTCTTTGTTCTGCTTAGATGCTCTCCTTACCCTTAAAGGTTGGTAATTGTTCCAAACTATGGTTGGACTCATTTAGGGTTATTTCTCCTGGGATACTGTATACCCTCTAAACTACAGATTCAATACTTTATATTCAAACATTTTTCTGATACCATATTTGTGTCCCCTTCTTCAGGAGCATGAATTTTACAGTATGTTAAATCAACATGACCCATCTTTCATGTTTTTTCTCCATATCATTTAAGTATCTTTGTACTGTTCCATGGCATGTTTTTGCCTCAATCCCGTCCGCCATGTTTCTGAGCATATTTCTGTCACACTTAGTACATTTGTGTCCCCTCTAATGTGGTTTTTGGCTCTGTAAAACGTTTTTCTTCTTTTTCTCTAGTATCTTTGGGCCGTTTACCAACTCCTGCTACGGTTTACTAATCTTTTATTTAAAACCTTAAGTATTTTGTTTGAAGTATCATTTTCAGTTTTTTAAAGCCTTGTATAAGGAAGGCTTTTCCTTAACATTTCTTTTGTTCCCTTGGGCAAATTATCTTGTTATTGTAGCTCTGACAGCCTTTATGTGATGTAATTGTTATGCTGATGTCTCTGCTTTCCAACACGCTCCCTGTTTTGGGCAGAATTTTAGCAAAGGCACCATGTTGATTCCTTTCTGGTGGACACTCACCCTCCAATGGTATCAACTCTTTTTTTTTTTTGCGGTACGCAGACCTCTCCCTGTTGTGGCCTCTCCCATTGCGGAGCACAGGCTCCAGACGCGCAGGCTCAGCGGCCATGGCTCACGGGCCCAGCCGCTCCGCGGCATGTGGGATCTTCCCAGACCAGGGCATGAATCCGTGTCCCCTGCATTGGCAGGCGGACTCTCAACCACTGCACCACCAGGGAAGCCCGGTATCAACTTTTAGCTGAAGGACGGTGTAAGTACGGGAAGGAATGACTTGGGACCGTTGGGACAATCATAGCTTTTATTTCGGTTTGTCACTTCAAATATCCTCTGAACAAAATCTACTAATTTTTTGCTCTGGGTTGCAACTTTTCTAGGTTTTTCACATTTCAGATGTTGGTGTGACCCACAGTAGATGGCCCTGAGTCCAAAACCATCAGGTGGCTTCTCCCTCTTTCTCTGCACGCATCCTCGCTGGAGGTCTCCTCCCCAGGGTGACTGGACGTCCCATAGGAGCACATGTTCACGTGCTTAGAAGGGCCTGAGACCGTGTTCAAACCAGAAGCCTGTGAGATTTACAGGGAGCAGCTACTCTTCAGCTAGGGCTGTTGGTGGCCTTGGGAGAGTGGGTTGCCAGAATCTTGTGTTTTTGCAAAGAATCCAGAAATCCAGGTTTTTTAATATGAGCTCTCTGAAAAAACTTATCAACCAATACGAAAATAGCAAACAGGTAATACAAACATCTTAGGTCCAATAAAATATGCCTGTAGGCCCCATTCAGCCTGAGGGCCCCTCATTGGAACCTCTATTAAAGGAAAAAAAATCCCCCCAAAACCTGTTACCACGGTTTCTCCTTTAGCATCCTCTTGCCTACCGTTGTGTGATGGCCAACAGGTCTCTACGGGAACACTGGTGACTGCTTCTCCCAGTGTAGACCCATGCCCCTTGGGCTAGACCTCCAGATGCAGGGATCTACCTTTACTGCAGTGATGTTTCTCCTCCAGAAAATCTGTCTCCTGCTTGCATGATGAGGAAGGATGTGGCTGGTTTCAGATTTCTTTCTTTTTTTTAATTGAAGTATAGTTGATTTACAATATTGTGTTAGTTTCAGGTGTACAGCATAGTGATTCAGTAATTTTTCCTGATTATTTTCCATTATAGGTTATTATAAGATACTGAATATAATTCCCTGTGCTATAAAGTAAATCCTTGTTGCTTACCTATTTTATGCATAGTAGTTTGTATCTGTTTCTTGAAACACCAAACAAATTTGGTGTTTGACAGTTTTCTTGATGAACTGAACATGGTTAAGTTTCTTTCTTTAACTTTTTTTTTTTTCCTTTTCCTTGTGATTTTTAAATTAATTTTGAGAGAAGGGCTCAAGTGGAAAAGACTTCTGCTCTATTCTTTTGTTCAGTTTTGCTTTTCTCAAAGGCCTTTGCAGGCTTTTAACATGCCACTTCAATTTCTACATTTTCTAATGATTTCTCTTCAACTTTCCTGGAGCAATAAAGTCCAGGAGTTTCTTTCCTATTGTTGAAGTCCATTTATTATGTTGCTGATTATATGGCACGAGAACTAACCTTTCTTGTAGGCGAAGGAGGCAGCTATGTATACAGATTGATTCCAGGAGAACCAAGAAAGTCCCCAAACTCCCTTTTGCAACTCAGCAACTGCTTCCTCACCCAACTCTCCAGCTTTTGTAAGTACAAAATTCTCGCACTGGCTTCATTTCTCTGACCCTTTATTCTTTTTCAAGTTGCTGGAACCCCTATGATGATACAGTAATAAACTTTAGGGCTTCCCTGGTGATGCAGTGGTTGAGAGTCCGCCTGCCGATGCAGGGGACACGGGTTCGTGCCCCGGTCCGGGAAGATCCCACATGCCGCAGAGCGGCTGGGCCCGTGAGCCGTGGCTGCTGAGCCTGCATGTCCGGAGCCTGTGCTCCGCAACGGGAGAGGCCACAATGGTGAGAGGCCTGCGTACCGCAGAAAAAACAAAACAAAACAAAACAAAAACTTTACCTATTGCTTATACCTTAGAAGAGTAAACTTATTAAACCCTTTCCTAAGAGCAGGTTTTGAAAGTTGGAAGAAGGAACATCGATACCGTGAGTGTAGAAGATACGTATCTGTGAGAAGTATGGGGTGGAGAAAACCCATCCAAAGGAGGTGAAAAGATAAACCTCACACTGATTATAGTGATGGAGACAGGAGCTCCGAAGGTTCGCCTGCATTTTTCAAATAAAAGACATTCATGCTCACTCCCAACATCGAGGAGTTGGATGAGATGCTCACCAGGTGAATGAATCCTGCAGCAGTGAACAAGGTACTCAGAACGATGGATAACAGCTTGGAAAACTTCACTGAATTGCTAGGGGAAGAAAGACAAAGAGCTGCTGGGTTCTGACAGGTTCCCAAACAACACAGATACCTCATCCTCTAAACTCTCGCTCCTCAAAGTGTGGGAATACGGACCAGGAACAATGCTACACTTCCCTGGGAGCATACTGGAAATGCAGCATCCCACGACCTGCCGCGACCTACTGATCTGCATTGTTACAGGATCCCCTGCTTGCTTCGTATCCATATTAAAATTGGAGATGCACAAGTCTCAGGCACACCCCGTCACACACACGTGTTCAAAAAGCTTAGGTTCTGATGAGCTCCACTAGCCTAATATTATATTGAAAAAAGGCAGTGTCCCAAGGATCCAGAGAGTGGGCTTGCAAAATGAAATTCTGAGTAGGTCACAGAAATGTAGTTCCACATTGCTAAACTCACACCGGGATCTTTGAATGAAGAGGATCAAACAAGCTCCTGTCTCCTAAGGAAAGCCCTAGAGTTTATCTGAAATCTCTGTGGTTCTCAGCAAGGCTACTGACCACACAAGAACAGCCCTTTCCGATCGCAAATGCTCCATAAAGCATCAACCCTTAGCAGTGAGACCCACCTGGCCGGTACTATTTGACGCTTCTAGTGAGACTTCAGAGGCATGGAGATTGTGAGTGGCTAACGTTAGACCAAATTGCCTAAAACTTTAACAGGATTTCTGCTTAAAGGTAGTTTGGATTTTTTTTTAACTGTAATTTTATTTTTTTGGAGATATTTAGGTAGCTCTATTTCTGTAAGCAAGAGCTCACTGCTGCTGCTGGGCAGCTCTCAGGCTTGGAGGAATTGTCTTACATTCCTAGACAGCAGAGGATCGATTCACGACAACGAATGTATAGAATCAAAGTGTCTGATTTCTTCAGTGATCCATTGATTATTTAGTAACATACTGTTTAGCCTTCATGTGTTTGTTTTTTACAGTTTTTTTTTCCTATAATTGATTTCTAATCTCATAGTGTTGTGGTCAGAAAAGATGCTTGATAGGATTTGAATTATCTTATATTCACCGAGGCTTGATTTGCAACCCAAGATGTGATCTATCCTGGAGAACGTTCTGTGTGCACTTGAGAAAGAAAGTGTAATCTGCTGCTTTCAGATGGAATGTCCTATAAATATCAATCAAGTCTATCTGGCCTAATGTGTCATTTAAGGCTTGTGTTTCCTTATTCTCTGTCAGGACGATCTGTCCCCCACTATTATTGTGTTACTGTCTATTTCCCCTTTTATGGCCGTTAGCATTTGCCTTATGTATTGAGGTGCACCTATGTTGGGTGCACAAATATTTACAATTGTTATATCTTCTTCTTGGATTGATCCCTTGGTCATTATGTTGTGTCCTTCCTTATCTCTTGTAACAGTCTTTATAAAGTCTATTTTGTCTGAATTGCTTTGACTAAAAAAATTTTTTTTTCGGTGGGGGGGGAGAATTAAAACCTAAATGGACTGACACATCGTAGGTCCAAGAAACAGAGAAGAAACAAACTCTTCAAGATGACTGCAAACTTTCCAGCCTGTGTGTGAGGTTAACGCAGTGAGAGAAAAGTAAGCGAATGGTATCTTGGAAAGTAAGGGATTCTGTGACTTCTGCACTGAAGTTTCTGATGGGAAATGAGCTGAGTTGAAGGTTCAGTTAACATTTGAATTTCCTAATCCGAATGAGTGAGTAAGTAGTACTTGAGGCAGGGCTGGCATTTACCTGGTCCTGATGGCTCTCAGAATTTGCAAGATTTGAGGGAGTTCCAGCAGCCGCAATGCTCTTAAGAACCTTAAACCTACAAAGCAATCAAAGAAAGAAAGCTGACGAAAGATGAGGGTCACAGAGGGAGCAGTCTGAATTATACCACACCTGGGACTGCTCACGTTCTTTCTTTCCCTGAAATGCTCAAATATAGTATCTTACAATGTCATCAGTTTAAGACCTGAGCACTGGTTCAAATTCTGGTTCACTTAATGGCTGTCGTAATCTAAAGCAACGCCCTTAGCTTCTCCAGTTCCTCATCTGTAAAATGGGAATTGTAATGATACCTACCTCGAAGGGTTGCTGAGTATCATTATTATTACAAAGTATGCAATAAGCACAACTCACGTTTTACTCTATTTAACTCTTCTTTAGAATGGAGAGCAAGTGATCCATAAACCACTTTAACTCCTGACTATAGAGTCTCTGTGATACGCTCCCCAGGGTTTGCATGTTGTTTGCCTTTATGTAGTTTGATAGTAACACTAGTAAAAAATATTTTGTAGATAATAAATAATAGTATAAGATTACATAAAAACTGACAAAAGCCACAGAATGCCCACGTACTGGCAATACATCCACCTTAAAGACAAAGTAACTAATTTAGAAAATCTCTAACAGGTCACCTCATGTCTGGATATGATGATTTACACTTTTTAAAGACCACGGGAGGCTTTTCACTTCTCCCAGCCATGTGGGATCTCAGCACAAAGGTGCCACAGGGGGCTAGGATGTTGGGGCCCTGCCCTCAGGTGCGGATAATCCATAAACAATAAACAACCCCGGACACCTACTGGCATCAGGCCCATCGCCAGGGACTGGGGTAAAAAAAAGAATGGGTTCTGAAAATGTATTACAAAACCATACAATCATGGGGAGGCATTTTTTTTAAACGCCATTTAGGCTTTAAAGGAAAATGAAAGGATACTTACAGATGCATGTTGAGGGGTTTTTCCTGAGATTGCTTCTGATTCCCACAACTTACCTACCTAGCCAATTACTCTTCAAATAATAAGAAATGAAGGTTGGCGGAATGGTAAAGATGTCTACGATCGAATTCATGTCCAACCAGAACTTGACCTTGTCGTCAGCTGCCAAAAGCTACGAAATGAAACCAGAGGCCCCCAAACTGTTACCCTCAAAAGTTTACAGTGAGCCCAAGAGCGGCTTTATCCAGGCACACTTCACCCACCAACTGAAGCTCTGACCGCATTCCATTACATACATACAATGTATACATACATACGCCCATGTATATTTATATAGCTATGTAAGTAAATACACATTTATATATATATATAAAAATAAATATATATATATATATATATATACACACACACACACCTATATATTCATATAGATAAAAAGATTGTACTTTAGGGGGTATTCAATGAATGAACGTGAATCCACCTTACTTACCAGATCTTAACTCTCCTACTTCAGAATAATCACTTTGACCTTCCTACTGCTCCTAGAGCTTCCTGATATATATATAATTATATAGGTAAAACCCCCTATTTGTGAGCAATGAAGATACGAGATTTAGGATGGTCTTCAATGGAAGAGGTCTAGAAGCTTGGTTGGCCAAGGCTTGTGTTTATGAGCTTCCCTATCTGGAATAAGAAAGCAGGTGCTTCCAGAAGGGAGGGGCTGCTGTAAAAATAAGACTGTGATGGCCAGTGTGGTTGAAGTAAGTTTGAAGGAAGGTCACAGAAATACATACATACCATACCTTTCATACGCACATACATATTACATATACACTTACATGTGCATATATATACCTCTGTGTGTGTATATGTTTGTGTGTGTACGTGTGTATATATATGTGTGTGTATACATGTGTATATATATGTGTGTGTATATATACGTTTGTATATGTGTGTGTATGTGTGTGCATATATGTGTGCGTGTGTATATGTGTGTATATGTACGTGTGTGTATATGTGTGTCTGTGTGTATATATGGGTATGTATGTGTGTATACATGTGCATATGTGTGTATATGTGTGCGTACATGTCTGTATGTGCCTGTGTGTGTATGTGTGTGTGTATATATGTGTGTGTGTGTGTGTATATATCTATCTCACAAACATGAGATAGATAAATCTAGAATCTAGATCTAGGGTGGGCCCTCAAAAAGTGCTTGTGGAATGAGAGAACTATTGAATACATGAATGCAACAAAATTAAAGACACAAGAGTATTTTATAGATTTATATGGCACATATGCCATCAGTGGAGCCGATGACATTTTCAGAGGCTTGTTACTCAGGTTCTGCTCTCTTGTGATTACCAGTCACTCTTCTGAGTGGCAAGTGGGAAGCCAATAAGAAGGACAGGGTGATAGGGTGACGATATCTTAACAAGGAATCTTTTTCATTTGTGTTAAAATTGTTGACCTGGTTTACAGTTTCAAGTGCAGGAGAGAGTTTGGGGGTCTCGTTATACATTTGACAATTGAGGGCCCAGACCCTCTGGCTTTAGAGCCTGAAAGCATAGGCAGATTGTCTAAGGAAGGCATCTCTTTGTGTAACACAGATCTCTTTACAGTGTGCCGGTTGTATTCCCCTGTTTACTCCCATGTTCAATAGGTACTTACTCTCAATCCAAAATAGAAACTAAAGAAAGCATTGAAAGTCAAATCAATCGGGATGGTTTTGTCTTGGTATGAAGAACAGCTTCCAAAAGGGCTGGAAAAGAAACAAAGACAGCTTATAAAGGTGGACATTTTAAAAGCTGTGGCTACAGAGGGCCAAATAAAGAGAACGGGTGGGCAATTTTCTATTTATTTACCATGAATGGTCAACCCAGACACTTATGTGCACATCTCAAGGAAATTACTTTTCTCTTGGGAGTAGAGGTATGCATGAACAAAACCACTGGGCCGTGAATGTAGCTGAAAGTAACAGAAGAATTACCTGCTCTTCTCTTCAGAGTTTATTGGTTCCATTTTCATTTTATCAATGGGATTCAGAGGCACAGAGGTTATGTGGCTCTTTTTGGTGCAAGACCATCTTACCCAGCCAGGAAATTTTGGCTTCAGTATACTTCTGATAGAGAGCTACTGTGTGTCCAATGAACTGATTTGAAGCAAATTCCAAGGAAATGTTCCTAAAACGTCAGTAAGGAATCCACAAAATGAAGACTTCTAGTTTCTGTAGGATCTCTAAAGTTGCCTGACTTGTGTGGCCCTGTAATCCCAGTTTTACTTTAGCTGGAAATCCAATAAAATTCCCAGAGGATCAGCATGGAGTTCAGATTAGGTTGGGTTGTGTCCAAGAAGCTGTCCTAACTTTGGCACAGGAGAAGGGAATGCCTTCAGAGAAGAACAGAGGATAGTTTGCTCCTACATCCCCGGTGAGGTCTAGCATTTTCTTTCCTCAGACCATCCAAACTTGTCTAGAACCTATGAGAAACCCTGAAATGACTACAGAACTTCTGCTTTAACACCTAAGGAATCCAAAGGCACGTAAGACCCACATAAACGGTCCAAAGGAGGAGACAACAGCTGGAAGCTTGTAGTCCCAGAAACTAGAATAGACATATGCACAGCACCCCAGCTCCTAGCAGTGCAGAATGACAGGATACAGGAGAAACTCATGCATTTTTTCGTTTGTTTGTGGAGCTGGGTTTAGTACTTCCTAGGGGAAACTAAACACTTATCCTTTTGTTATGAGCTTGCGTGTGTGAGTTTACGTGAAAGTATATTAAGCATTATTCCTGACAGAATATTCCAAATTAGCTGGTAAGCTACTGATATGAGCAGACAAGATTGACTGGGGATTTTACTCACTCAGTGGAGTTGATGAAATAGATTATAAGAGACCCAATGCTTAGGACAAAGACAAGGATCACCTGAAAAAAAAAAATCACAGACAAATGTACAGATCCATTCTATTAGCATGAACATAGATGAATAAACATACCAACAAAATTGTGTTTTACCTTTTTCCCTTGCCTATGTATCTGTAGCCATTTTTTCCCACACATTCATTTATGTTAGCATTCATTCATTCACTCAACAAAAACTGGTTGGACCTTTACTGGGTATTCAATAAACGAACATGTACCTACCCATTTTACCTACCTAATTTTAACTTTCACACACTTCAGAATAAACAATTTGTCCTTTCTGCTGCTCCTAAGGTTTTCTGAGCTCAAGAAGTCCTTTGTTTATTCATTCACTCACTCATCAAACATTTATTAAGTGCTTAATATGTGTTATGCAGTTTATTACATGCTAGAAAATGAGGGCCATGGGATACAGACTCTGAACTTGAATTGCCTATGATGTTGGAGAAGAAACAGTCCCAAACATGCCCATCTAAAGGATGGGCAGAATTCTGACAGGAGGGAACATGCTATAAAGTGAGAAGAGAAAATGAGCGCTTTAACTTGCCAATATATCTGGTCTGTAAAATAAGAATCTGTGGAATATAATCAGAAATTTACCCATTTAAAACCCTCAATACATTTGGATGAAATATTTTGCAGCCTCGGTGAATTTTTAGGTCAACTGTAGGTAATCAGTTATTTCTAGTTTCCAAACATTAAAAAAAATATGTTCAGTCCTGTGTAAAACTGTATTTTATTTACAATTAAAGCTTCACTCCCTTCCTGTTCAGGTGTTCCTTGAGCAGGCTACTAGTATGCAAAAAGAGATTAGTTTCTTCTCTGTTAACCCTTTTTGTTTTTTTAGTCCTAGCTGCCTACTGACTAGGGTACCTCTGGCCTCTGAGAACTGTAGGTCAGTGTCAGGCGGTGAACAGAAAGAGGAGGTAATAGCAGGAAATGTTGGACTTGACTGGTGTGTTAGATCACTACGCTCTCACCCTTGGGCTCTCCGGGCACGGGAGGTGTTTACTGTTTATTTTCCTGGGTTGTTGGAGATTCCCAATTCAATTCATATTCAAATTCAACAGATATTTCTTTAGTACCGATCATGACTCAAGTATTATTCTGCTGACTGGGAAACATCATTCAACAACATATACAAATATCCCTGCCTTTATGGAGCTTATGGCCTAGACAATAAATAGTAATTAATATGTACCTCAGGTGGTATGTGAGAAGATGCATGCTAGGAAAATAAAGGAGAGCAACTTAAACGGATCAGAAGTGCAAGGGGAGGGGGCAGACAGGCTGCAGCTTGATAATATTTAATTGCTAAGCGTCCCCTCTGTGGTTCCCTTAAGCTGAGTGAAAGCGTCCTCTCTCGCTGGTTGCTCACAACTCTTTTCTCAGTGCACCTTGCACTCTTGTATTCTGCTGGAACTCTTCTCCCTCCGGATGCCTAATTGGGCAGGTTCGAGAAGACTCTCACATGTGACCCACATCTGGCCCACGGACCAGGTCAAGCACTCTTTGCCCCAACAAACACTAGAAGGACAGATTCTCTTCAGTGTGGCCATCCCTCTTCACCAACGAGCCAGACATCAGCTCTCTGTGTCCCCAGAGTTCCAAGAGGTGCCAGCTGACCTTTCTAAGTGGTCCCTCGCTTGGCAGGGGAGGAACCCCCCGCCCCCCGCCCAATACCTCTGCCACAATAAGAGCTTGTCCCAAAATCCTCTTCAATTTCCAGCTTACCCAAATTTACATGGGGTTGGTCAAGATGCTAAGAGCTTCAACTAGTCTTCTTCCGAGTGCTTTGTAAGTGGCAATGATGCAGGTTAATGGGAGTTAGTGGCATCTATTTTTCTTGGGGTCTCAACTCTTACTGTCAGTTCCATTTTAACATCTGAATCAAGTGTCGATGGAGATATCACTAAGACTGTGGGTCTTATGGAGATATTTGGTTACAAATGTAGTCTGAAGCTCAGGAAAAATGCTGGGAGTGGATATGCGTATGTGTGTGCATATATATATATTTATATCAGTAGATTGATAATTATTAATAGTTTCCATGAAATCTTTTTTCTTCTCCTTACCTATGATTACATATTTTTTCTCTCTTACTAAATCCCATAGGTGATTCTTCGTCTATAAATCATGTATTGACAGGCTTCCAGAACTATGGTAACAAGGTCATATATTTATAGTCCTCCACACCATAAAGTTAACAAAATAAATAAATAAAAGAAGAAAAATGTAGTTTTATTCGATCTAAGAACAATATCAACTTCATGCCACAAACCTTAGAAGGATGATCCAGAAATTATATATAATAAGCAACAAAATGTGTACCAAACCAAAATAAGGCACTGGGAGCTAACAGTTTGTGAAGGCTGTTTGGTGAGTCAGGTAGAAATGGGAGGTATTCTGAGAGGACTCATGAATTTCCCTCGGGTGGAAGGGGCAAAGTCTATTCAGGAGGGGTAGGAAGCCCGCCACCTGAGCTGTGATTTCTACAATGGGGCTTAAAGCCCGTTTAGTTGGTGGATGGTTATGGGTGTCTTCAGAATCCAAACAGCCACCAGCGCAGTTAACAAGGGGCGCTATGAATACTCCAAATCTTCACTTGTGAATATGAGAGGACACCAGAAAACTGCCGGTTATACGGGAGGTATAAGAAAACAGGAGGATCGGGCACACAGAATAGATGTGATCGGGCACACATATGAGAGGACACCAGAAAATTGCCAGGTATACGGGAGGTATAAGAAAACAGGAGGATCGGGCACACAGAATAGGTGAAATAACGTCCAGTGAAAGAGTGAGCATAGAATATGTAATTAAACATCTAAGAATTACAATCAGTGCTCCTGGTGAGATTCTAAAAAGCTGTTAAATAGTACTGGAGGACTGGGAAGACCAAGGAACATGGGGGTGACACAGAGGCAGTCACTGCAAGAAGCTGCACCCCCAAGGACTGGCTGGGAGATCAACAAAGGGAGGTTGGGATTCTCAACATTTAAAAACATTCGATGCCAAAGGGCATCAAAGAGGTGCCCTTTGGAAGGGGGCTTCAGACTTGGGAGGAGGGGTCCTGGGTTGGCTGGTAATGGTACATCTGAAGAGACACTGTGAGCTTGGTCCTGGTACTGTCGGAAAAGCCTGGAAACTGAAACCAAGCACTGCTACTGGAAGAAAAAGCCATTGATGAAGTGAGGCTGAAAAAACTAGATGTAAAACACAGGAAGGCAGTTCCTTCCCCTCCTCTAGAGCACAAGGGAGCTGACCAAAGAGACATGTGGTCGCTGTGCACTAGCCTCACATCACAAAGCAGGGGAGAGAGGGTGGATTTGGAGCTGAGAGACAAGAGTTTGGTATCCTTAAGTAGCCAGAACACTTTGGAACAGCATTTACAGAGGTTTTAGGAAAAAGGATTACAAGCCAAGAATTCTAAACCCAACCAAATTATTGTTCACTTATGAGAGCAAGGGGAAAAAACTGGGGGACATTCAACAATTCGGAAAGTGTACCACCCACAATTTCCCTTGCGAGTGAATATGGCAAGTACTCAAGAAAAAAAAAAAATTAGAAAGATAAAATAAGTTACGTAAGAAAAAATGGTGCCTAATAAAACTGGTAAAATTAATGGAATTTTTAACTCTAAAGCAAATATTAAGAAGGAAATCTGACCCGCTGTACAATGCTAAAAGCCAAAAAAACTAAAAAACACAGTAGCAATCTGAGTGTTCAGATTAATTCAACAATTTCTGGAAGGAAGGAGGGGTAGTGTGGAGGAAAAACATGCCGAAGGTCTCAGGCGAGAGCAGTATATAGATATAAAACATGCAGAGATATTATTAGAGAGAAATACAGGTGGGAAGTTTGTTCTGAATTTCATTTACTGATATACCTATGATATTCTATTAAAAATGGAAAATCCCAAGTCAAAAGAAACAAAAGAAAATACATAAAATTAACAAAAAGGAACAAATAAGGAATGTAAATATCAGCGAATGGTCAGTACTTACTACACCCTCGAAGGGTTTACAATACTCCCTACAGTATTTTAAGGAGGTTATTCACATTATACGAAAGAAGTGCAATTTGGGAAGATTAACTTGTTCAAGATGAAGTGGAGAAGCCAATGCTTAAGGTCATGTCTCTCAAAATTCTCAATCATCATGTCATTCCGCTTCTCCAGTAAGATAAGGAACTAAGATGTCACAAAGGTCCTAGTTGTTTATCCAATACCCATTCTCCCTTTCTTTACCAAAACACCCTGTTTGTTGGTTTAAGCCACAGAAATTTAGATAGTCTATTATGCAGTAAATTCAATCTCTAAATATTATAAAGACCAATGAAACAGATCACCATAAAGGAGAATAATTAAATTCTCCAGTAAATGAACAAATAAATGCATTCTTAAATCAATAAACACAAAAGTGCAGCTACATGATATTTAAAGAGACACACTTAAGAGGAAACAAGACAGAAAGACTGAAAAAGGGCCGGGCAAAGACATTCTAATCAAGTATGAATAAAATGAAAGCAATGTTACCGGCTAACATTATGTTCTAAAGTATCCCCTGGGTAAGAAAACAAAAACAAAAACAAAAACACAACAACAACAACCCACTCAATATGACAGAAATGGATACTTCATATCAGTAAAAGGCACCATCGACCAAGGAGTTATAATAGGTAACTCTATGCATTGACTGATGTTACATAAAATATATAACTCAAAATGTTAGAAATGTAAGATATTTGATAAAACTATAAAATCATAAATGAAAAATGTTGACGTGCCCTTTTCAATCAGTCAGCAAATAATTAAGGGTATGGAAAATATACACAGATTCTCTCAAAAGTCCATTACACAGTAAAAAAATTGATCATATACTAGGCAACAAAGAATTTCCCCATAAATTCCATAAACTAGAGATCATAAAGGCAGTGATATTCCTGTACCATAAATTTCACCAAAGTAGAAAAGAGAGCCAGTCCAACACCTAGGAAACAAA